TTCCAAAAGGGATCTGTCAAAATAGGAGGAGTTGTGTCGATAACGGGGCTGAAATTTTAATCAATATAGATAAACCGCTGTTGAACCGCTTTTTTGAGTGACAAGTTTGCAAACACGGACTAAAGAGTATATTAACAAGAATGGGGTAAGGCTACAGCTAGGTACGTTGTAATACGGCAAGAAAAATAAAATAAAAACACGAAATATTTCAATAGAAATTTAATTATCACTTTTATAACTATACATTAATGGTGTGCATAACAAAATAACTGGTATTCAATAAAATAATAGTTCTGTATATACTTACATACACTCGCTTAGTCGAGGCGACATATTTAGTTTGGACAGTGCGATTTTTAATCGCCATTACGGACGCAATTTTACAGCAACAAGTAAAATAAATCTATTAACTTCTTAAATATTGTTGGTTATAGATCCTACGAGCGCGGGTGCGCCATACTTGTGTGGGTAAATGTACACGCACATTGTCTTTGTTTGTGTACGCTCGGGAACGCCCAGTTTTGGCTGGCATGCCAATAAATGAGCTTGCTGCGAGTTACGCACACAAGCGCGCGTGTCTATACGCACTACAACAACAACTATGGCTCACCCGCGCCCGTGAGATAAAAGAACTATACATTGCAGGCTACAAATACACTGGTCCAAAATATGATGAGAGCCGATTCACTGAGTATAATATTTATGAGACCTCTTGAGAACATCAACACGATTTTTTATTAAGGAATTAACTCATAACTTCTAAGCCAAGCAAGTTTACTTATATGCTTCAAATAATACCTAGAAATAAGTCTCATATATTATGATAGATGTTTTTAATGGGGTTAGCCGGTAAACGAGCAGACTGATCACCTGATGGTAAGCATTCGGTGTCGCCTATGGACACATGGAACACCAGATGCGTTACAAGTGTGTTACCGTTAATTACTCACGTATACCACACTAAACTTCTTCGGACTTCAGTGTTCTGGTGTTTTCATGGTTGTAGTATTTACTGTAGATCCTGGCTTACAGGAGTTGCAGCGGTTTAGGGAGGTTGTGGCGGGCTTGTCCCATTAAAAAAAAAAGTGTTACCGGCTTTCTGGGGATTAGAAATGTGGAGCTTGTTGGTAATTCAGATTCGACTAAAGCCGCTAGACAACTAAATTTTTGCTTTAAACTCCACTCAAATCTTAAAGACCGATATAATCGATTCGACTAAAAACCACACCGTCTCCACACACCTCTATTTAATACACGATACATCAAATCTTGTACAACTATTACAGTTGACAAGGAACTAAGCAAACACATAGTTTATTTACCAAACATATAATAATGACATTAATGTTGACATGTAAATGTAAGATTTAAGCTCTTTTATACATATGTAGCAAAATTGTTTATACACATATTGTTTTAATGTTGGAACACCTTTAGGTTTATTTGGACAGTTTAAGTTATAAAGAGAGCCAGCAGTGGTTGGTGTTTATTAGCCTCTATATATAGGTTTCTTTGTTTGGATGTTTGTCCGTAAACCACGCTAAAACTACTGAACAGATTTCGATAAAATTTGGTATACAGACAGGATATGGACTGACTTAGGTGATAGGATAAAACAGGACTCATATTGTACTAGGATTAAGTCGCGGGCAACAGCCAGTAGCCTATATATTTTTCAGTTTATTAGTAGCGAAGATATTAATTAGCCTGTGCTAACAGAGTCTTGTCATTATGTATACCTAATTGATGGGATAGAGGGCTACGAAGGAGGAGAAGGTTGATGGATCGCCTTATGATAAGTGATTACACATAATATATTTGTCACCACATCTTAAAAAAAAGTAGCTTTTATAAGTTAAAATGTAAAAAGTAATACCTAAAGATATTCCAACACTGAACATCATCTATACATTACAATAAAAAACTAACTACATTCAGTCAGTCATCTTGTATTACACAAAAATGATAGATTAATATCTACATGGCTACACAACGTCAGACTGCTTTATTTTAATTAACGTTTTACACGAAATACATATATATTTACACCTACCTCTTACAGGGGTAGGCAGACATAGGAGGCTACATTACATATTAGGTATTTACACTAACAAACCAAATAAGTGAATCTGTTAGTTGGTGGAACTACGATAAATACTAAAATACACAAAATATTCACTGAATTTTTGAGGGATTCCGTATCAAAAAATGCTATTTCGAAGCAGTCGTTAGACGGTAGCAAGTCAACCTCCAACCTGTCACATTTTCTTGAATTATCGTTATTTATTGTTATATATTTTTCCTTCATTTTAATCTCACTGCGATTCACAAACGCCTATTAAAACTCGGGAATAATGACAAACACCCTTTTTTAACCGACTTACCAAAAAGGAGGAGGTTCTGGTCCCAACCGAACCAGGTCATTTGACAGTTTGATGTCTCTGTTTACCTCAGTCAGAGATACGCATGGTGATATTTATGTAAGATTTATTTTTATGGTATACTAGCGACCCGCCCCGGCTTCGCACGGGTGCAATATGCATGTATTATACATACAAACCTTCCTTAAGAATCACTCTATCTATTAAAAAAAACCGCATCAAAATCCGTTGCGTAGTTTTAAAGATCTAAGCATACATACGGACATACAGCGAAAGCGACTTTGTTTTATACTATGAAGCCGGTAAACGAGCAGACGGATCACCTGATGGTAAGCAATCGGCGTAACCAATGGACACCTAAAACACCAGAGGTGTTACAAGTACGTTACCGGCCTTTTAGGAATTAAGAATTTGAGGATTGTTAGGGATTAGGGAGATTGGGGAGCCCAGGGGTAATTGGGCCTCCGCTAACCTCACAAGACAGTCTCTTTTTGTGCCTTTTGGCTTAATTCCCTGTCTCTTGCAGTAGTTCACCGAGGAAAGCGGGAAGATCGGTTTTTTCTTCTCCTCTTATAATATCTTCTGATTTATTTCGTGTTGGGAACCAAGACATTTATTCATGTCCCTGCCACGCGCCTAACTTTAGTGTTCCAGTGTTTTCAGGGATCTACTGTAAATCCTGGCTTACAGAAGTTGCGTTACAGTACAGCGGTTTTGGAAGGTTCTGGCGGGCTTGTCCCAAAAAAAATGTGTATTACCTTTTGGGGATTTATTGAATGATTTGATATTAAAGAATTGTAACAAATTGGAGAAGTTTGACACTACCATCCATACATTATGTACCTATCAGACACGTGTATAAGCAGCTCGTTACCTAACATTATAAATCTGCATCACAGATTATTTTAGGCTTAATTTGATTATTTACAACATGTTTTAGACAGAAACGTGCGATTAACCGCAGATATGCAAGACTAGTCGCAGTTCTAAAGATTGTGGCTTATTTATGAACCTAGATTTAAGAATAAAAACGAAGTTATTTCGTGGCAAATATTTCCTCTTGATATTTTAACAACCTACGACTAAAACAAAAGGAATTTTCAGTCCAAGTCGAAAATTTTTCAATATATTAATTATTTTGAGAATGAAGTAAGAATTAGAATTAGTTACATAATTTCTTAAGATTCTCCCAAATAAGCCACAATCTCTCGTCTCAATTAACATACAATTTCATTAATATTATTTTTGGTTCTAATTTAGGTTATAAGTCAAAGTTATAGTTTACACATATTTAAACTGAAACATGACTGCATAATATCGAATTAAATAAACCAATAAACTACTTAGTTACATTTTTCTAAGAAAAACTTAAAAGATTCGTACTAGCGACAAAATTATAATGAATTATTCTTTTGCCAATCGATTTTGAATTCTATTACGTTCTATATAAAGACATATAATAGTTGTAACAAATAATATGCATTACAAATATTTATTTGCGTCTAAAGTATTTCTTAATGACAATGTAATAAAGATCAATATCGTCTGATTGCGTAAATTGCGTTTATTTTAAATACAATGTAAGAATGAAGCAAAATATTAAAAAAAGGCTATTATAATTGTGCTATATTGACTGTTTCAACATTTCTGGAAACTTAAGGACAAACTGGACTTTATCTACGCAGTTTTAAGGTTGAATTTCGCCCTTCTAATAGCATTAGTAGCTTAAATTGTGATATTTTAGTTGTAAAAGAGTCAGATATTGTTATGAATTGTTCTAGAAGTTTCCAAAAACAATGAAACGTGCATGTATCACATGGAAAACAATACTGGTTACCATAAAACTTAAAATCTATTGAATATATTGTAAATGATATGAAAAAATGTCTCACACCGTCTGTTTGTCTATAAATTGTGTTCATACAAACTGTAAACTCGATTATCTATATTGAAAAGTTGGTAAAAACACACATTATTTTTGTTGGAACGGTTTGTTCAAAAGTCGATATTTACGTTTTTTTTTGTTTTTGAAATCAGTTTTCATACATAGAAAAAGTAATGTAGAAAAGTCCAATAGAATTTAATAAATCGTTGGATAGTTTAACAACATTTTATTTCAAATTTACATAATAAAAGAACCATAATATATTTTTTATTCAATAATAACCAATATAAGATAGATAATTTGGTGAATTATTTACAATTTCGTTGAAAATATTCAAACAAAGAATGTTGCCACAAACTTGTATTTATCGTACCTAGCAACACTAGCCATGGCACTCAAATGATAATAATGGAAAATAAAAAAAAACAAACATTAAATAACTTTATTCTCTATATTAATCAGCAGTTCTAATAAGCAGCTACTTACAGTAAAACTTACAGCATTCATAAAACTATACAATCTATTTGAATTATACAAATACTAGATTTTACCCGCGGCTTCTCTCGCGTTATAAAAGGATAAAAAGCCAATGTGACATATACCAATACACACAGCGCCATCTATACCAATACTTTTCCCGCGGGAATATCAAATTTTTCGGGATAAAAAGTACCCTATTATTTATTCGGGACTTCTAACTATACATCTGCAAAAATTCAAAGCAATCGGTTTAGTAGTTATGGTGTGATAGCGGAACCAACAAACAAACAAACTCACTTTCCGATTTATAATATTATTAAGGAATTAAGGATTTGTCACCTTCAGTCAAAACTTACCGATAGTTTATTAAAGTAATTTATAAAAAAATAATAAGGATAGTTGTCTTTATACTATTATCGGTCGCAACAAGCTTAAGGCTTTAAGTGCCAATAAAAACCTGTTGAAGGGAAATCTTCCGCTAACGTCGGTCACCGGTGACCCCAATGGCGGTGAACGTGTTAAGGCCCGTCTTACAGTAAGTGATTAATCACCATGACCTAAGTACACTTGCAACATTAGAGGGATTACGAATGCGTTACCTAGAGTGTAGAAAACTATTTCATTTTGACGTCATTTTTGAGGACTTCCCTCTAAAATGATAGCGCAATTAAACGAGTTGGGTTAGGTAGCAATATTATGACACTATTTAAGCCATTTTAAGCCTTCTGCCCCTAAAATAATAGCGAAATTAAACAAGTCTGGCATCAGGAACTTTTACGGTAATATTTTGTAAGAGGATGGTAATTTCTTGGTGGAGGTGGTCCATTTAAGTTACATACAGTGGAAAGCAGGTCAACTTACCTATCTTTCGTTTCTGTAAATTTTTTATTCAATTTTCAGCTCTTAACGTTTGGGTATGAAGTCAAAAATCCAACGACAAAAAGAAATAAGTTGATGTACTAAGACTGTACAGTCATTGGGTTCAACAGCTAAAGAGTCAGCAAAGCAGTAATTTCACAATAATTCAATAACTTAAACAGATCTATCATTGTTTTATGAATAGTATAAATGTACCGTAAGTAGACTGCTAGTAATTAGTTACATCTTATTAGTAATGTAAGTCTATTTGCTTGGCGGGACACGTACCTGCACATCCTATGACATCGTCGCTAAGACAAGCTATACTTTTTAGGAAACTGTCTTACGACTTGTTCAGACAAAACCATTGGAGTTTGATCTTGAAATAAAATATATACATTTATAACATGGTGTTATAAATGTATATATTTTATTTGAAAAAAAAGCAGGCATAGAAATCAGGAAACAAAAATAACTTTTATATTGAGTTTATAATTAAGATTATAAGGAAAGTAAAACCAATAGATTTGTAGTCAATTTACAAAGGTATTGTAGATTTTTGTACGCAAATAATTTACATATTTCAAAAGCAACAAGAGTAACAACTTACAATAAAGCAAGAATATAATTATAAGAAATATACAATGCAAATGCCAATAGAAAGACTAAGCATTGCAGAAGATTCTATGCCAGCCTTTTTCTTTAAAACGCAAAATGTGACCAGCACAATACATAGTAGAAGATTTATAAACAGGTTTAATGACCTCTTATAGAGGTCCATCAATTTAAAGGCCGATTAAGCGTTTCACAAAAGTGGTATATCATACAAAAGGTTGCGCTGTCCGGTAATTTTGCGCAAATTTTGAATTGTTGCGCAATTGTTACATTAAGTTTGCGCAACAAGTTAGTCAATTTTGCACAACTTTTGGTTTGATGCGCAAACGTCACATCATGGTTGCGCAACATTTTTTTGTAAGAAATAACACATTTTTGCTACAAATTTGTTTGTCCTAATTCACCTATCTATTCTTACTTGGTGTGCCCGCTGTGGTCGCGTCCGTGTCAGTAGGACCGCTCGTCCTCGCAGTAAGACGCGGTCCGCCGTTGCTATGGCACCCGGAATGGTACCACTAAGTCCTCGTGGTGTTCCACTCGGAGCTCTGAGATCGCAGCGGCCGCTTTCTTTACGGCATTTGTTATCTGGAAATTTTATTAAGAATTCTGTATAATTTACTTGACATTTTTGTGACAAATATTATGGTAAAAAAGACTTAAACTGACAAACACCGAGCGGTCACCGGTGACCGCAACCTTGCTTGTTCTTTAATTGTGTCTATAATGACGGTACTCAAAGAGAGTTAACATAATTCGGTAGTGATACATGATAGAGTCGAAAAGAGACCAAATGCTCATGTAGTATTAGTGTAAGGGGGGAAAATCATCGAATGACTGCTCCCGCCTAGGTGAGGCGGGAGGGAGTGTCACTCTTACTGACTGAAAACCACCCCGTTCCTTCTCCTGCACGTCGAGCCGGAGCCCCGGTTACCCGTTAGGTTCTCCGCGACATAATAACTAGATTGACACCATTTACAGCTACGGACTCACGAGGCGATTTTCACCCGCGCCCGCCGATGCAGCGGAAGCCGCAAACAATCGCAACAGTCGTGGTCGTAAAACGCGCCGTGAAATGTGCTTTGATTTTTTACATATTATATATCTGTATTGCGGGAGAAAATCGCGCCAAGGGTCCTTAGGCTTATTATAGAGACTAATGAATGACCTAACCTCACATACATACATATTTAACTATTCTTATAAATGCCGCGAGTGGACTGTAGATTACGAGATACAATGGGGCTTCTTTAAATTAATGGCTTCGTTCTCATACAGTTCATTAGTCTCAATACTTTGGAAGGTCATTTGAGACGCAGCGCATAGACTAAAATAAAATGTCACCTTGAATTATATAATGATAAAAATACAATGACAATTCGCATAAATTAGGTATGGTTTACGAGAATGATTCATGTAAAATCGAAGTAAACAGCAAAAATTATCAGTTGTCATTCAATACATAACATAACATCACGCATTTTATTCCCGAAGGGGTAGGCAGAGGTGCACATTATGCCATTACAATGTAACACCCACTTTTCACTATTAATTTATGTTATGAGTGCCATGTAATAGTGAGCCTATTGCTATATACCGGGCACAATCCCAGACTCCGTGCTACTACTGAGATTTTTTTTAAAACCCAGTAATACTTTGCCTGCGACCCGGGAATCGTACCCGAGACCCCTTGCCCGGCAGTCGCACTTGCGACCACTCGGCTAACGAGGCATTCAATTAAAAATAATAAATGCATACTAGTAGTAAACCACTGTGCTTTAAATCAAGGCTATGGCGAGAGGTTCAGGTACTAGGTAGATTATGAATATATTTTTTTATCCACCTGGCAAATGGATATGGTGCCTCCCTAGAAGACCTCATAATACAAAAACTGGGACAAGAAAGGTATGTCAGTTCATTCATGTAAACATTTGATTGACATACCATTTTCTCAGCCAAGAGTTCCAAATTCAAAAAAGAAAAAAAAATTAAAAACAATAACTTACAAGGTCCTTATCCCCAGCTCCTAGTGGTGGCTTGGACAGCAGGGCAGCTCGCTCAGCATGCGGCAGGTCAGCCAGTAACCGAGGCGCCGCCGCCCCCGCCGCGCCGAGCCCTGCCACCCGAGCACTGTATACTCGGACGCGCTCAGAGTACGCCCCGGCTTCCAACGCGTAGGGACCTAGGGCTCCTACGTCGATCACGTTGCTGAAATCGAATAATGCGATAATGATAAAATACATGTATTTTAAGATAGTTGTTTGTAGTAGACTAAGGGGATGAATAGTTTAAGCTTATGTTATTATCATTGTCAATGAATTTCTCAATTTCTGAATGTCGTGCTGTATGCTATTGGCCATCTAAGCATTATCCTCAATTTTATATATTCATACTGTAAAATCTTAGTCGCTTTTTCCTTTCTAACCGACTTCTCAAAAAGTAGGAAGTTCTCAATTTAAGTGTTTTAAACTTTACAAAGTACAGGATAGAAACGTCACTGACGTGGCAGTCTCATGCAGTATCCTGTTGAGTGCGCTCTGCTCATCAGGTTTCCGCGGCGGAGTGGAGGCCGAGGCGGCCGGCACCGGCGTCTCCTGCTGCTGCTCCGTCACCTCCAGGAGATGTGTTCTTTCGTTCACTGTGTTCTCCTGCAAACAGTTAAGGAGTATTTTATAAACGGAAAAACACAAGATTATGCAATAAATGACGATTATCTAGAAAAAGTTAAATGTAACAGATATACGATTTCATCCAAGCGTATGCGGATTGTGTATGGTTCTTCATAAAAATGATTGTTTTAAAAGGTAAGTATTGAAAAAATATTTGGTTTTAACCGACTTCAAAAAGAAGATAGGATTCAGGGTTTATTACACTTAGGAGAAGGTTTTAGTATATTACTTAATTAACAGACTTCAAGAAAACAAGAGGGGGCAGAAGTCGGGGTTTTTAACATCCTTACTATAATATCAAAAATCGGAAAGTGAGTTTGTTTGTTTGTTCTGCTTTCACGCCATAACTACTAAACCGATTGCTTTGAATTTTTGCAGATGTATAGTTAGAAGTCCGGATTAAATAATAGGTACTTTTTATCCCGGAAAAATTTGATATGCCCGAGGGAAAACAAAAGTATTGCTGTAGGTGGCGCTGTGTGTATTGGTATATATCACATTAGCTTTTTATCCTTTTGTGACGCAAGCGAAGCCGCGGGTAAAAGCTAGTAGTTTATAAAACAGTTATTAATTAGAAAAAATATCTCAAACATAAATGCATTTTGGATATAAAAACGTTGCATATAAATTATTCTACATTGAGATAATAATATGTATTACAGTACAGCTCATAAGGTAAATCTATTCATCAATGAACCTGCAGTTGCATAGATAAGATTAATTTAGAAGTGAATGAATACATACTGAGATTATGCTTTGTTTTTTTAATAAATTCTAAAGGTTATTAGGTTAATATAATAATAATGTTGCAATTAATTAAATATTTATAATTTTCATCGATAAACAAAGTGTAAATTGATATTTATTGCTTATTTATTTTGAAGTGTGAATCTTAACATTGTAAATTAGTTATCATGTTTATTTAAGCATGAAAAATTATATTTAAGAATTGAAGATCAATTTTACTGATGTCCTATTGCAGAGACCTATATTCAAACGCGAATATAAACAAGTTGTTTAAGATCATTTACAATATCGGCACAAGATCCTTTGAAAGCCTTGGTACGTGAATGAAACCAAAGTGCTAAAGCTAACAACCATTTTTTTCTGCTGGTAACAAAACCATAGCTTGCTTTTAAATCAGGCAACGCCATCTATCGAGCTATGGGACAACACAATTAATAATAGTATGGTAAAGGCCGAGTGCATCTTTTAGAAAGATACACTGAACAATATGAGTCAATTAATTTCAATATTAATGAATAAACATGTAGCGAAAATGTTCCAAATGTTACAAATTCATTATAAATATAATGTGCGAACTAAATTTCATTTACAATTTTCATGAATAAGAATCAATTTTGTGTTATAAACATAACTTATATACTACACACTTGTGGCTACACATGAGATTAAACACTGTGTAAAATCTATTTACAACATTCAAAACAACACAATACCAATGAGTCATGTCGATACAGACATGTAATCCTAAACCACAGAGTGTTATATCGCAATGAATGTCTCATATTTGTACACTTTCAATATACTCGGGTTAATTTAAATTTATAATAGTTTTTCTATACACTATTATTAACTGTAACTTGTAGAGGTCAAAATTGGATTTGAAATCTTTTTTGTAATGTTAAAGAGTGATTTAGAATTGTTATTAAGATGATTATTTACATAGTTTCATAAAAATAATCTTTACATCACAAACAATAAGATTCATTTTGCAAACATAAGCATGTGGTTAACAATAATTTGTACCCAATCATAATAATAATTGTGTTAAAATACATGATATGAATTCATGTTTCACTTATCAGAGAATGTCAATTTCCTGTTCACTTTGCAAATAATTATGAACATATTAATACCAATTTTTTGGTATATCTTTAATATTTTCCATCAGTGCTGTATATAGAGTACAAGTTGCCTAAACAGATTAGCTCCCGGTCTTCTATGAAAAAGATTTAAGACAGTCTCATTTAGCAGCAGATGGGAGGATACAGTACAGGATAAGTTTTTTTTTTTCTTAAACAAAATAGTTGCCCTACACTAGAATTTTTTCTGTGTTGTAGGTGTGTTTAAAAAGATACAAGTTTACATATGCATCACAACCAAACTTAAAACAACAATTTGATTACACAAAGAGTTTCTCCGTGTGGGAATCGAACCCGCTACAAGTTGCCCAGCAGCTGGTTACCTAGCCACCGCACCAACCGTGCAGGCAGTCTAGTACATATGTAGGCAGGTCATGTGTATCATAGACATCTCAGCCCTAAAGATGACTGACAGGTACTTAAAGTAAAGTTCACCTATATATATACACATTTAAACAGGTGTTTTAATAAAATGTAATAACAAAAAGTAGGCCTATCAAATAAAAAAATATATATATCTAAACGCAAACTATTTCCACATGAAGGTTAGTTTTTTATTTCAGTCACATTGATTTCACTACGATATCAGGGTTATGAGGAACTTAGGTACTAAAACAGACAATGGAATTGATACATAAACATTGGACAATGACCATCAAGATTCTGTAACAATAACCTAATTGTAAACTCCGGCCATCTAAATTGTGTGTATGATTACTAAAGCACGCTGTTTATGTATTTAATTAGATAAATGCCACTTCAATACGAATATAAACGATAAAAGATAACCATTGTGTGTCACTGTCAAAGTTAGGGAACGGAAATGAAATCAAACAGTTCTTGAACCACCCATTTTTCACGCATGAAACGTTCCCAATACGTTTTTTAAACTTTTACACAACATACACTCGATTTTATTAATTAACACGTAAAAGTAGTGTTAAATTTACCTGTGGATCGTTGTCTTTGTGGCAAATACTATAGCAGCACCCCATGACAGCGGTTTTTAGCGAATCGAAGCATGAATGCAACGACGTGTCTTCGTCGTCGGACTGCATAAATGTTTATATTTATTGTCTCCCGATGAGGATAAAAATAGAAAATTCCGTATTTCGCAGCAGGCGAAACTTGCAAGCAACAATGACAGATAATGTGACACATAAAATATAAATGTCATTCTGTCATGTTATTGTCAAAACAAACTTCAATTATTTTGGTTCAGAAATGCACTAAACTAATACTACTTTTATTTTGCATAGTTATATCTATTAAGAGACGATTATACACATTCTAACCAACTGATCACTAAATTATATTATTTTAGTTTCATCTAACCCCTAGGTACTTATTGTTGCAATAGGCTTCAAAACGTTTTGAAATGAATTTATTGACAGTTTCCACTTTTATTGGACAAATGACAAGTGACAACTTTGCTTGTTTGACGTATTTTATCAAGTGGATTATTAAAGAACATACAATAAGTCAAAAACACGTCGACTATCCAGTGAATTATTATACAAACTTAGTTTATTGATTGAAAATGTTAAGATATAGAGGCAAGAAGAAAGTAATTGACAGGGTGAAGGAGTTGGATGCCTTCCCCAAAGTACCTGAAGAGTATGTGGACAGTACACCTGTAGGCGGCACTTTTTCAGTTATCGCATTTTTTATAATTATGTTGCTGATATACAGTGAAGTGACGTATTATTTAGACAGTAATTTAGTTTTCAAATTCGTACCGGATACTGATATGGACGAAAAACTTCGAATAAACATAGACATGACTGTTGCTATGCCTTGCTCCAACATTGGTGCTGATATTTTGGATTCCACTTCACAAAGCGTTTTCGGTTTTGGTGAGCTTCAAGAAGAGGATACGTGGTTTGAGCTGACGCAGGAGCAACAAGACGCGTTTGATGCAGTAAAATACCTCAATTCTTATCTTAGAGAGGAGTACCATTCCATTTGGAAGTTACTATGGAAGAAAGGCCATGGATCTGTTCGGGCTACCATACCACCTAGAAAAACTAAACCTAACCGACGGCCAGATGCATGTAGACTCCATGGAGTTCTAACTTTGAATAAAGTAACTGGCAACTTCCATGTTACTGCAGGAAAAAGTTTGCATTTACCTAGAGGACACATACATCTGAACATGCTATTTGATGACACTCCACAGAACTTTAGTCATAGAATACATAGACTTAGCTTTGGTAGTCCAGCCAATGGAATAATTTACCCGCTGGAAGGTGATCTGAAAGTAACCCAGGATGAAAATATGTTGTACCAATACTTTATAGAAGTGGTACCGACTGATGTAGACACTGCATTTGAGACAATCAAGACTTTCCAATACTCTGTCAAAGAGCTAGAGAGACCGATAAGTCATTCCAAAGGATCTCACGGAGTGCCCGGTGTCTTCTTCAAGTATGACATGGCTGCATTAAAAGTTCAAGTTTACCAGGAAAGGGAGAATGTATTACAATTCACTCTAAGACTGTTCTCAATTATCGGAGGCATTTATGTTATAGTCGGGTTCTTGAGTACCATAGTTCTTACTATAAAAACAAGCTTGTTGCACAAACCTGCACCAATTGCTCAAAAACAGGTGTATGATGGTAAGGTGCGGGTACAGCCAAACCCACTGCTAGTCACTCCCGACCTCAGTGTTCCTGTAGAGCTAGTGAAACCATGACATGAGGCTCCGCCCCGTAGTCATGACTTTTATTTTACCTAATTTTGTATTGTATATAGAGATTTTTTATATAACTATTGAAATTAAATCTGAAACGAAATTGTTATTTATTGGCTCTTTCTATTGTTACTTTTTAATTGTTTTATTGTACTCCACTATTAAACTAAGATTGGTGATAAGTTAAGTAGACACATTTTATACTATTTTATACTTACTGAGTGCTTATTTGAATATTATTTGTATTTTCTAAATGTATATAGGTACTTTTGATATTTCTCTTAATTATTATGTATGAATTAACATAGGTAAGTATTTGTATTATCTATTGAAATATATTCTCTTTAAATATTAAATAATATTTAGAATTGTGATTTACAATAATGTGATTTATGTTTATTTTTCTTCCATACTACCTTATTTTTGAAGACTGAGGAATGACTCTCCTGTAAAGTTAATGTATGAATGTATACTAACGTTTTTAGGCAAATCCTTGTGATGGTAATTTAAGTGTAATAACTTTTAACTTAATTCATCTAAGGTCTTTGATAATTGTGAATAGTATGGTAAACATCTAAGTAGCTAATTTTTAATGGAAATAAATAATAGTATTTGAAAAGCAGGTGTTTTACTTCCCCTTAAATTTGGCGTGCGGGGTTAGGGGGGTTGATAAACGGTTCTGAGTGTTTGTCTCTTTCACTCCCATACGTTTCGCCTATTTTCTGTCGCACCATACCTCTCCGCTGCTCTCGACTCGTTTTGTTCTCGCGGCGAGTTCGGCCGGCCGCCATTCGCGCGGCGGCATCGCCCCACGACGAACGTGACACTACGTTCGATCAACGAAAACAGTCGAAAAGTTTCCCAACTTTTTTAAACGGGCCCATGATACAACACTTTTTTCTCCAGAATCAGCAGTGCGGTGAAATAAAAGTGGTCAATCTTGACGAGTGTTTGTGAAGTGCGTCTACGGTTTTTTTATGCGATCGCAATTTACCGTTTCAATTGTACTTTACTGTTTTGTTCGATAAAAAGCGCGTAAGCAAAGTTGCAATATTCGTTGAGAGGGCCGTATATGGTATAGTTGAATCTTTGGGGGCTGGCGTCGGTGAAAGTAAACCTTTGTTAAGTTCAAAAGGACACTGGCGCGTGCAACTGGCTCGAAACGACACGTTTCGCCTGCAGTTTGCGAGAAGGTGAGCGGCATGAATTACCTACTTAGTTACTCTTCAAACTACAGTTATCTTACAACGAGAGTTTTTTTTTATCGTTGCATTCAAAATAATATTTCTTTCACTTTGGAATTAGATAAGTGCCGTTATTTGACTTGCTATCAGTTAGTTTACTTAGCTTTACGTTACTAATTAGCGCAGTTATTATCTGTATCACATGCACTGGTCTCACATTCTCATCATTGTAACGTTTAAATATTCATAACATTTCTATTAGCTACTGACTTATGCACCTACTTATTCTGCAAAAGAATTCAGATTATTTTTGATTTCCCCAAAGAACCTTCCCATTCTCAATAGGCCGGGTCCATGTGTCATGTCATGTGGCTGTGAATGTGACACCGGTGTAATTGCTTCTGTTTCTAAAAATCGATAGTTTTCATTAAGAATGGCAGCCAGCTGAACGACTTCGATGCCATTCATGCACCGCCAACTGTAGGTCAGTGCCCTATACCCTACCTGTTGACTCGGCGCTCCCCGTCGAGCCGGTTCTTCTACGCCAACAACGGCTCACTGAAAAAAAACGTCAGGTCCAACTGACATTGAATAATAAATCGATGGTTTTAACTGGTTACGATAGAAAAACACGTTGAGTAACAGATGACTTGACTTGCGCGCAAAAAAGTACAGAAAAGGAAACTTAGAGGGCTGCTTTTAATTGAAACAACTTAATCGAATACCGTGAGGTCATTCAATTAAATTTTTTCATTAAAATCTCTGTTAAATAAACTTATTCTTTTGTAAAAATGGAAATGTAGCGAAACGTAACAGTGATCTAAATCGGTTCAACGATTTCGAAGATTATAATCTGGCGAACAAGGTTAGCTACTTTCTCTTACTGATAGATAAACGAAATTGACACCCTTTATTACCGAACTCATTACTTGCAAATGGCAAGAAATTGGATAAACATCTTTGAGAACTTACTGTTGATTTGGCTGGAGATAGATAACTTCTGGTTTTTCGACCCTTTGAAGCAAAAAGAGTTACGTACTATTACAAATCCCGGCAGTGAAGAAAAGATAAAATAAAAACACTTCCCGCTTGAAGGAATGGTAACAGTTTTTGATTGATAAGTAGGTACTAATTTACATTATGCAAATTCGGTCAGTTGTTTAGCAATAGCACAGTTATTTTCACACTTGCATGACCAGTGCGTAATTAGTCCGAGGTTCCGAATAAAATTACCACCAACTGAGTTTAATACATTGTGATGGCCAGATGCTATCAAAATGATACAGTAAGACGAGTAATTGCTTTTTAATAGCAACTTTATTGATCTCAATAATAACTAATTATATTTAGGTACCTACTTACCTACCTAATCATTATACTGATTTTGCTATCGAAAAAATAATTGGAAAACTTCGAACTAATTTAAATCCTAATGTTATGAGCAATGGATCTCACATTAACAATATTTTGAGCTTCCTGAATTGGTCATAAACCCGATAAGTTTCAACCAAAAAGCTTTAACTCTGTTTAACGAACATTCAAATCTATTTGTTCGGTGAGCTTTAAAAAATTCTTCAACAAATAGTTTTTGTTGATCCAAGCCACCTGCGGGAGACGCTAAGTGTTGAAGCGACGCTTATTTTTTATTCCACCACATGTATTAAATTCCTTCCAGACCGTTTCTTTACAAACGATAATCATGCTAACTGGGTGCTACGAAATCAACCGAGCATTAAATAGAAATGCGATTACAGAACAGTCTTTAATCTAAAGCTAGAAATAAACTTTCCAATGAGATCGCAAGAAACTTTGAACGAACAAATGACAGAACAAACTTGCATAATTTATGGGTTGGAGTTGGTACCTACTGTATCGGAGTTCAGGACGTAAGTTTTGATTCGAAATCAGTTCTACAGCCATAAATTCTACGTCAGGTGTTCGATAAATAAGACTAGGAGCGAACCAGTCTTCTTAGTTCGCTTCGGGCGAAAGAAATCCATGCCTTGCATGATCCTTGTAGGTACTCATACCTAGTTCTAAAAAAATTGGTTAATAATATCAAAGCACTAGTCACTGTTAAAATTTAATTTAAACGTTGCCCACCGTTTCAATGTGAGTGACAATTCAATTTAAACTTTCTTTTTGATATTTAGGAACCCGGTTTTCAGAACATGTGTCAAATACAAGCGTTGAGTTCGAGTTATAATAATCCTACAATTTCGCGTATTGATAATTTCTGAAAATGTTGTATGCTTTTTCAAAGACCTAGGTATTTTTAGCATGAGATAATTTCATTAACTATGTTATTAACTAAATCCCTATTTTGACATCGAGATTTTGTTTAATACCTATTATGGAAGTTATAAAAAATAACAAAATTCTGATTTATAACTAGTTATTTCATTCAAATTTCGATTTACACTTCAACAATTTAGCTTTGAACCGTTTGTCCATTAAAAATGGTTCAGTAAGTACAGTCTCCCTTTCTCGAAGCTCATTACACCATGATTCAGCCTTCGTTTTACTCCAAATATTTATTTATTTCGGCCTTGGCCCATCTCACATGTACGTCGTTTGTTTAGTTTCTGACTCAATGTTGTTCTAGCAGCCCAAACAAAAAGGTTTCGAACTCTTTTTGGCGTTCTATTTTGGAAGAGAAAAATATTGCTTACAAAATAATGGATTGAAAGAATAATACTAGAGTAAGTGAAGCAGGGTTATTTCGAGAGCAGGATGCGGGTTTTTTTGTAATATGATATCGTCTTTGATAGTGAGGACACGACTGGATAGCACTTGTTAACCAGTGCGGAGAAAGTCCGGTAACCTAGTCTTTCGATATTGTATCGACATGTTGATGTGTGTTATTTTAATCGTAACGTCACGTACAAGCAATGTAACGTGTTATTTTCTATAGTTTGGCTTACATTTATGAGTCTGTACCAATGCCTGGGTAAGGCAAATTAACTTTGCAATACTTTCGCCTAAGTACTGCTAGTAGAGCTAAATGTTTAGTTATGATGTCTCTTTGCATTAGTTTTTCACTTTTGCATGAAAACCGGTTTTGTATCAGCAGTTTTAGAACTTGTTAAGTTTTGGCACATTGACAGTGAACACGTGCTCAGTGAGAGACACAGACATCTTTGCTTTTACACTGATAGTAGTTACTTTACATCTTGAAAATGAAATAACTACTTTCTGGTCATTTTCATTTTTTTTCGGTACCTATCATCTCTCTTATCTGCCACTTATTAAAGTCATCACCTGTCCAAACCCCTAATATTTCATTTGTAATCTTGCTTATTTTCATTAGAATTTTATCCAACCCATTTTTCATAGATTCCTGGTTGTTGAGCTCTTACTATTTCTAAGCCCTCAATAATCTTGGCATCGTGCCGAGAAGTGCTCGCTAACTTCGTAAAAATAATTGCCTTTTGTTTATAATTTCACAAGTGATCTTAAGAAAAGTAAACAAAAGATATTACAGTAAAGATTTACGATGTATTCGTTTCTATTTTTAAATGTTTAACGGTTTTGATATCGACGCCATTTTCTCGCAAATATTTAAGACGTGAAGTAAGTTAAAGATGAACTATAATTATTAATTTAATTTAGATAGTTATCAGTGTTTTCTGAAGTTCCTGCATAAGAACTACCTACCATTGAGTAAAATTATCATGATTAAACAAAATTTTTCAACGTTTGCATAACAACCATTTTACGTAGCTACATCTACATAAGTAAAGGTATACATAGTACATAAGTAACTTTGGCAATACATTTATTACACCAGATGGTGTGCGGTATAAGTACAAACAATGGTTTCGATTCATATACTGTGTAACTACGTCACAAGCATGGAATTCCTGACTCGTTGATCACACAAAGATCCTTTTGCAAACCATTTTGTATTAGTTCTGCCTACCCACTTTAATTTGTTGACGTAAGTAATTGTTTTGTGTTGAAGTTCGGTTTAATTGTGTTACTGTTGGGTAGTTTGATATTGACATTGGGAATGTTTCAAATGTAGATGTGTAACTAATGGCAAATAGTTTAATATGAGTTGGCACTTTGTCCCA